TTGTCCCCATCTCTATTCACAACTGTAAGCAATAAAATGTTTTTATTTTTTCTCTTACAAATGTCTCAAAGTGTTTTACTGAGACCATAAGTGACAGTTAAGGAGAAAAAGGGACTTGAATCCATTCTCCTCTGTGAGTTTCTGTACTTTTACTGCCTGGGCACCAAACAGAAGGCAAGTCAAACCAGTTCAACTGAAGTAGGCCACTAGCCACTACAACTCACTGTCTGCCTGGCACAGGGGTACAGTTTTTGTGTGCAAAGAGACTATGGCAGAGAACATTCTTCTCTAGCAGGAAGGAAAACAGTTGACATCACTGCTTATTAATATGTGGGCAATGAGTAACTATCCTCCTTCTCGAAGAATAGCCACACCCTTTCAAACACTGCAGAGCTGTGAGCAAACAAAATACCGAAACTCCACTTTACACTTTCTGCCTGCTTATCTACCTGCCTCTTTTCTTTGGTTTCTCTAGACACAGCCTCCTGAGACTAAATTATCAGGCACACAGTGTGGATTTAAAAAGTGCCATTGGGTGCCATGTTATCTTGGCCTGTGTTTATTTGTTTCATTTGGAACAAAGCTGGGCGATTTGAAAATATTTATAGCACCCAATGGGGGTTAGAAGCAGTTGGCAAGTCATCCTCAAAACATGGATGGACATCAAACAGCTTGTGCCTTATAAACATAAGCGCTGCCTTACATCCTCTCAGATTGCTTATAGATGTTATAACTGGAAATCAGTTGAAACCAAGCATCCTCAAAGATTCTCACAATACGCAAAGCCAGCAGGTTCAGCATATCACACACTGCAATGCTTACCGGTGGTTGAGAAAACATTGTTCTATCCAAAGCTTGGGAAACCGTGTTTTTTTTTTTTAAATTAAAGGTCCCAGAATCCACAAGTGACCATGCTCTACAAAAACCGTTTGAATAGTTTGATCATGCTGTGGATTGAGTCCAGGATCTTTAAAATACCTGTACTGCCTTCTCATCTATGAGTCTGCCTTGAATTTGAAATCTTGAAGAAGTCCTGTGAGGTGCTGCACCAGCACCCGAAGAAATTAGGTTGGACAACTGAACCTTTGAAGAAAAATCAGTTTGGCTCCAGCCGTGTTATTCCATTTTAGTTCTTCTACAGAGCCCAGGTGAGTGGAGAGGCAATAAATAAGTCCTCCAAGTAAGTAACAACATTAAGGAGCAAGACCTGAACAGTAATAGAATGAAAAATAAAATTTGCCAATCGTGCCCTGATTTTTCAGGTATGAAAACGTGAAAGTTACACATCAGCACATGCAAAAGGTGCAGTTCCTCTAGCACTGAACTCCCAAAAGGTGCAAAAATATAAAAAAAATAAAAAACAGGGGCTTACATTCAACGTTGAGTTCCAACTAGAGTAGATTCACTGAAATCAATGGCATTTAAGTTGATTTAACAAGTCCCTCTCATTTGAATGATTCTGCTCCAGCTAGGATAACATTAGGTTTTGCCACAGAGAAATATTGTGCCACCTTAAGAGCCTTTGTGGTATGAACCTTTGTGGACTGTGGTCCCCTTCATCTTATTTTCAAACATCTGGTATGAGGGGACAGGAAGCTTTCTTAGTGACTGTAGATTTCTGCCACACTGGAACTCTAGTTCTTGTATTTAGAGTTTATAATGAACAACAGTCAGTCAGTCTTTATTGTTTTGACCACTTTGGTCATCCAACTTCCACAAATTTAATACATAAGTATAAATATAAATATATATACAAGTTTGTGTATATATTGTGTAAAGTTGTTATAATTAACAACTTTAATAAGATTTTGGGAATAGATTTACCCACCAGAACCTTCGGAAAATGAAGGGAAAAATTATATCTCAGCAGTAGTAACCCAGAGAAGGAAATCCCACTCCTCTGAAGAATGTGCTGTGTCTGACTTCTTCTGTACTGTGTCTGTCTTGCAATACATGCAAGCAAGAGGGGAGGGGGGGGAAGCAGACCCATAAATACCAAGGAGTTTAACTGAAAAAAAAACCTGATTAACTACCAAACACAAACAAAACACTCAACAAGTAAAATATTCCCCGGCTGAGGAGACTCCACGTTCCAGAGACTGATCTTAGAAATCCCAGGAACAGTTTATTGGTACAGTATATCCCAGTTTACACATTTCCTTCTGAGAAAGGGAAGCGCTACACGCCTGTCATGAGGCACTGGTTTAGAAGGAATGATTCCTGTGCTTTCATGGAAACACCTAAATACAGGCCCAAGCACCTAACCACTTGAACACAATTTTTATGGCACACAGCTAATAAAATTACTATAGAAAATAGAGTGGGTATATTGGCTGAAATCCAGCTCCCTGTCACATTTCCTCTTCTCCACAACTAATTGAGGTCACAACAATTTCTTAATACCCCCCAGCCTTTATGTGAAGTTATACTACTGAAGCAGGCAGCTTCCAGTCCCTCATGGGTAGTTGGGCTTTAGAAATGCTGTTTAAAGTTTGAAAAATGCTTTTAGATATTTAGAGCAATTTGAACCAATGACAGCCTTTCACTCAAAGTGGAAAAGGAAGCCTCGTTCATTTGAACAACTTCTCTCCGAAGAGCACCTTTCACTGCAGAAGAGTACTGAATGTCTTTCTGCAGCAAAATTAAACAGCAAAAAGGATGTGCTCTTTCATGTTTTTGGACTTTAACCCCATGGATTCTCCCAGCAGAATTATTGCAGCCCAGAAACACAAATCTGCATAGCTTTAGATGTTTCCCCCTAAGAAAAAGTTTTGGGTTCTTAACTCTGATGCTGCCACACTCCCAGCATCAACTGCCTTCTGTTACCTAATTTTTAAAAAACCTGCCTTGGCGCTGACTGGGACTCATAGTTAATTGGGAGGCACTCTCTCTAGAGCCCTAATGGGCAGCAAAACTATTACTCCCAGCATCCTCCATACCCAGGATTCCTGTTGATTTGTCACATGACAGCAGAAGGGGTTGACTGAGAAGTGAGGACCAAACTCTTCTGGGCATGGAGGATGTTTAGAGTTGAAATCTTGATGCCCATTAGGCTCTAAAATAAAATAAAAAACAAAAAAGTATACAAAGTTGCCTGGGAAGATGCAGTATAAAGTTTAGATGTTGTACATATATTCCAAAAACACATAGTGACAAAACAAGAAATGTAAAAGTTAACACCTGCTTACTTTTTACACACCTTAATATTTATTTATTTGTTTGTTTGTTTGTTTATTTATTTATTTATTTATTTCCCGCCTATCTGGTCTCGCAACCACTCTAGGCAGCCTAGATAATACTGTTTTTAAACTCACAGTGGGAGTTTCTCAAGGCCCTTAAAGATGCACGGTAAGGCAGAATCTGAAACCAGAAACTAACTTCCTAAAAGTGAAATAAAAGACAGTTAAGATGCACAGAAAGACAATTAGAAGCTGGTTCATCTGATACTGGGCTATTCTTTCTTACCTAACCCTGCAGAAGTGGGGCTTGCAGTGTTTACTTGCTACCTATGCTTAAATAAAAACGCTCTTCTTGTTCTACACAGAGGTGCCCACCTCTACTTTTTTTAGAGATCCTCTACCTAGAGGAGCAGAGAGATGTCAAAAAATCCAAAGTCCTTTTCTGAAATTAAAAAAGCAAGGAGGCCTTTGCTATCTGGACTTCTGCCTTATAATTAGGGATTAGCAGGGTGTTTTACATAGGCTATTCCTATGGTTATTAATAGCTCACCTGACGCTCAGGAACTAAACCAGCAAGGTGTGCCAGGAAAAAAAACTGTTGACAAAATTAAGGAAACAAAAGGGGCGGGAAGGAGTTAAAATAAGACCAAAGGACAAAATGCAGTGCTACCTTAAAGATTAACAGATACGCTTCACCATGTGTGCTTCTAGAAATCAAAACCCATTGGACCAGCTTCCTAGCCTTTGTCTGCCCAAGCTTCACATGTCAAGCTGCTAAAAAAGGAGTAGAAAACGGCCACTAAAAAACAAAACAAACAAAAAGAAGAAACCCACAAACCAGCAGAATTGCACAACAGATGGAAAATCGGTGGGTGGGATTTCCCCTCTTTTCTTCATGTGGAGAAAAAAAATTCCCTGCAGGAATTATGCTCGCCTGTTTACCTTCAGACTAGTAAATTTGTAACATTGTTTGTTTAATCTTATGTTAACGATTATTTCATAATTTACTGTGATTTTTAGATACATGTTTTCTTCAATTGTTACAGGCTACGTACTGGTATTTCTTTTGGGGGGAGAAAAATAGGATACAAGTTAAGCCCTAGCCAAACAAACAAAAACAAGCGTATCTTCTAGAACAGGCAAAGTTACAGAATGCGTAAATAAGAGAAGAGAGATGGTCCTACATTCCGCAAACAAACAAACGTATCTTCTAGAACAGGCAAAGTTACAGAATGCGTAAATACGAGAAGAGAGATGGTCCTACATTCCCCCCTTTGGGGTCTGCCCCCCCCCAAAAAAAACAACAGCTGCCTCCTTTGTGAAGCAGAAAGAATCTCTCAATTTTCAACATAGACAGGATGCAACCAACATAGATGCGGCGCTGCGCCCTTTCTTTCCGGAGGGACTACAGATCCCATCACCCGTCGGAACCGGCGCTGCGCCCTTTCTCCCCGGAGGGACTACAGATCCCATCACCCGTCGGAACCGGCGCTGCGCCCTTTCTGGCCAGAGGGACTACAAATCCCATCACCCGTTGGAGCTGCTGGGACCGAACTCCAACGGCCGAACCCTAGCGGCTCTTTTTTACGTGTAGATAGAAGCTCCGCCCTACAGAAAGGCCCCCCCAATAACCGTTATTTCCCTTCTCCGGGCGGTCGCCCCTGCCCCCACCCCCGTAGCTCTCGCGAGAAACGCCTGGCCCTCGGGGGGTCCCAGGCTAGCAGCTCTCGCGAGAACTGGGGTGCGGCTCCCTCCGCCCAGAGGCGGGGCGAGGGGAGGGCTTTGTGTCGTCCGTGAGGGGTGGAACCGCTTCGCCCTCACCAAGGGCTTCAGTAGCTCTGGTGGCCGAGGCGCCGAGAGGGAGTGCGCGAGGCGAGCGGAGGGAGCGGAGCGATGTCGGAGCCCGGTTCGCCGGTCTCTCTGGGGTCCCGATGGGCCCCGACCCACGTCCAGGTCACGGCCCTCCAGGCGCGGGGCCTGCGGGCCAAGGCCAAGGGCGGCCAGGGCGGCGGCGGGAGCGACGCCTACGCCGTAATGGCGCTGGGCAAGGAGAAGTTCGCCACCTCGGTGGCCGAGCGCTGCCAGGGCTCGCCCGTCTGGCGGGAGGAGGCCACCTTCGAGCTGCCGCCGGCGCCGCGACGGGGCTTAGGCGCGGGAGCCGGAGGAGGAGGAGGAGGGGGCCCGCTGGTCGCCCTCAGCTTCACCGTCTTCCACCGCGCCCTCCTCGGCCTCGACAAGTTCCTGGGGCGCGCCGAGATCAGCCTGGCCGAGCTGCAGGCGGAGGGGGCGCGTCGCACCACCCGGTGAGGGGCCGAACCTCCAGGGCCAGAGGCAGTCTACCCCCCTGGAAAGGGGAAGGAAGGAAGGAGTGTGTGTGTGTGTGTGTGTGTGAGTGAGTGAGTGAGTGAGAGAGAGAGAGAGATTTAAAAGAAACACCTGCTTCCAAAGCTTGGGGGCGGCGGTTTGGCTTTCAAATATATAGTCTGCTTTCATGTTAAGCCACATCGAGTCCTCTTTGGGGAGAAAGACGGAGAATAAATAAATTAAATAAATAACGGCCAGGTTATAAATTATTGATCTGACGCATTTCTTTCATTGGTTTTTATATCGTCCTGTCAGGGCAAGGCACTATTCCGGGTGGTTAACAATCAATCAATTCCAAACAGAAGTAGCTGAATACTTTATTGCTTGATAATGAAATTAAGAGACCCTCTGTGTTTCAGAATTAATCCTTCCTCAGGGACATTGTTGAGTTAGGGTAGAGTGGTCATTTTGAGTTATTTTCAAAATGCTTGGGACTGAATAAGTTTTTTTGTGCATCTGGATGTCTCTTCCTTTGTTTATTTTTGTTTTACTGTATCCCTGTTTCCTGGGTTTGTAGTTTGGGCAGATACGTGCCTGAGGAATACTCACCAGTCAGCATGATGTTTGGTTGTTTATTTCCTGTTGGTTAAATAGAAACACTAGCTTCAAAGGCTGTGTACTTTTTTTGTGCAAGATTGCTTGCGGATGTTGCCTCCAAATGGCTATCAAAGAGAATGATAGGAAGAAAGCAACAGTGCTGGTTGTGTTAAAGTCCAAGCAGCTTCCTTCAGACTTCAGAAGAGGGAAAGAAATGGGATGAAGCCACACAAGGCTGGTCTTAAGAAAGGCCATTCATTCCTAGAATTTAACTCATAATCATGGGTCTGTTCCCCTCTGTCAACCAGATCTAGTTGTGCGAATAAAACTGGAGTAAGGAGAGGAAAGCAACAGGTGTGAATGTGAGCTTTCTGAGTAAAGATATATTAGTAATATTATTAGTATTATTGTTTACAAACTTGCTTAAGGGTGCTGTTTATGCATAACTAAGAAAAGCCCAAAAGGAGCAAATCAGTACACTAGAGCTACTTTAAGAATTTATTCTTAATTGAAGAGGGTAGGGACTGGAACACCTTTAAATAAAAATGATATCCTGTTTTGACTAGCCATTGGCCAAGTTTTTCCAGGAAGCTGTGAAATGAAGATGTAAAAGGCACATTGTCTCTCATTGGCCCATCCCCAGCAACTGGTATTCACTGGTATACAGTTTCCCAACATAGAGATTCTGTTTCTTTATCATAGCACTTAGTTGTGGATAATCTTAATTCAGTGTAAAAATTTGACTAGTATGTAAAAGTATCTGAGTATCCCACAACCAAAATTTGTGACTTCCCCTGAGCCTTCTTGTCTTAGTTCTCTCAGCTCTTGTCAAGAATTATGTCTACTAGAATGAAATGAAAGGAAATAATAAGTAGATATTCCAAAGTGGAGGATGTGCTTGTTTAATAACCTTATTTTTAAAAACTGAATTTCATTTTTGTTTTTAAAAGCAAAAAAGAATAACCGGGACAGTTGTGGAGACATCAGATTGAAACATTGTTAGTAGTACAGTATACTTATATAAAGAAGTAATATATTATGAAAATAGTTTATTGAGATGCAAAATTGAGATGTGAAACTCAAGTACACAAACAATTTAATGTTTTAGGCACTTCTGGTTCTTCGTGTTAAAACAAATATTCAGTTGAGGGATGAGGAGGAAGGGGTAAATGAGTAGTAAACACATTTCATGAGATGAAGCAAAAGTGCTTGGCACTTTCTGTATTGCAGAAGAAAGATTTTAAGAATTAGAAGCAGATCCAAAGAGTGAACCACATAGATCCTTTAAAGGCATCTAAGATTACCTAGGATATTTGAGGCACTTCTGTAGCACTCATGCTCTTTCTCTGGCAGCAGAATTTACTTCTCTGTGAGCAGTTTTTCCTTCCTATGTTGCTGAAATGGTTATGGTTTTTGGACCCACACTGTCAAACTATCTTTACAAATTTAACAGGAAGGCTTAAGCCCTAATTTCTGGGGGGAAAAAACAGCTTCATGTAACATGTTTTACCAGGTGTATCCTGATCTTCAAGGTGACAGCACTCCCACATGTTTATATGACAGACTGTAAACTCAGTTTCGGTGTGTGGTGCCTTAAGGAGTGCCTAGCACTGGGTCAGAGAGTTTTGACGGGCTACTTACCTACTACCTTTGCGCTGGGGCAGATCACAAAAGCTCAGCAGTGCGTAGCGTAAGCCCTTTGAACAAGTCTGACCTTAAAAGAACATTTTACTTTTACCCAGTACTTTGCAAGTACAGAAACATGGGCTTTGTGATTCCTTAGAACTCACAGCAGCTCAGTTAGAGAGGACTCTTAAAGATAGCTAGTTTGTGGCCCTCTCTGCCTCCTGGATTTAGCCAGCCCCTGCTGTTCAAGAGACCAGTCCTTTTGCAGCATCGGACTTTCCTTTCACTTCAGGTGCGTCCACAGCTCAGCGTCCTTTTGGCTTTGGCCCAAACACTTCATTAGCTGTGGAGCTACTTGTCCTTGTCCTTCGCTCTTCCTCAGTAACCTGTTGATGCCTTCCGACCTGAGGGGCTCATCTTCCAGCGTCATATCTTTTAGCCTTTTGTTTCTGTCCATGGAGTTTTCTTGGCAAAGATACTGGAGTGGCTTGCCAGTTCGTGCTCCAGGTGGATCACATTTAGCCAGAACACTCCACTATGACCTGTCCGTCTTGGGTGTTCCTGCACGGCACAGCCCATAGCTTCTTTGAATTACTCAAGCCCCTTCGCCACGACAAGGCAGCAGTCCATGAAGGGGCTTTAGAAGCTACAGATAGCAAAATAAATTGTTTTTGTTTTGAAAGGCACTTGTCTCAAAAGGGGGAATGCCTCTTTTAGGATTATACCTGCTAAATTTAAGCTATGTGTTGTGTTTAAAGCAGGAGTGAGCAACTGTGGACCCGTAGGTGAAATGTTCCTGAAGGATAAAGTTGACCAATCTCTGTCTTAAAAGTATGCTACCTTGTTTAGAACTATTGCTTTTACCCATACTGTAGGCTAATTAAGTAGATAATTAGCATTGTACTATGCATCCACCAAAGATGCTTTAATTGTACCAACTTTTATGATTTTTAATCATAACTACATAAGGAGAGGGCTTCTTCTTGGTCTCATCACTTTCACAGCTGCATTTGGTGGGAACACAGGACAGGGCTTTCTCTGTGGCTGCTCCCAGACTCTGGAACTCCCTCCCACAGGAGGCCAGACTGGCCCCATCTTTACTGTCCCTCTACAAGCAGGTGAAGACCTTTCTCTTCAGGCAAGCTTTCCTTAAGTAAATGACCACTGAATGGGATTTTTTAAAAATGGACCGTTGTACTTTACTGCATTGAATGTGTTTTGGTATTGCTTGTGTTTTTTGGTATAATAGTCATTGATCTTTTTAATATTGTATATTCACAGTTGTTACTCTAAATACCATCTTTTAATTGTTGTAAACTGCCTTGGGTCCTTTTTAAGGAGAAAGGCGAGTTAAAAATAATTTTAAAAATAAAAATAATCTTGTTGTCCTTATAGTAGGCCTGTAAGATAGGCCAATAGTACCTAGTATTGTAGATTGAGGGCTTAATAAGGCCACATGCAAAGTTCATAATAAAGGTGAAATGATTTCACCTATTTAAATGTGTCTGTGCTTTGAAAAAAATTGAAGTATTATATACTCCGTGCCTTGCTGTTCATATGAGATTATGTAAAGGAATTCTTAGCAAGAAAAGATTATGATTAGTCTATTTAGTCAACTTGTTTGTTGACTGAGCTCATAACTTGATTGTTTGAAAATAAGACCTGTACTTGTAAAGAATACTCTAAAAGCTCATATAGGTAACAAATGGCAGGTCTCATTTAAAGAAAACTGAAATATTTAACATAACAAGCCGAGCAGGCTTATCAAGTTTACTCTGGCAGATTACCTGGTTTACACAGCCATGATAAGTATTCAAAGTATGTTTGAAGCACATGTCCTGTGTAGTATTGTTATTTTTTAATTAACAAGCAGCAAAACTCAGATTCAGTATGCTCAGTTTGTTTAACAAAAGCTAGGTCTGCAAGTTTAATTGATTAAATCAATTAATAGTCTGTTAGTCACCTGAAATGCTCTTCATTACAAAGAAAGACTAGATGTCAAGGGGGATGATTTGTGACCTAGCAATCTCCTTGATATTCTAGCATTTTATATGCAGAAAACCTTTTAAGGAACAACAGAATCCTCAGCTATGTAATACTCTGCCTGTAGCCTGCAGCCCAGGAAAATTCTTACCATCCCATCTGTTGTTTAGGTAAACTAAAGCAGTTAAAAGGCAAATGATGAGCTTCTAGAACATGGGAAAGGATAGAAGATTGCTTGCTTGTGAGTTTACTTGTGCTTCTTCTCCATTTCTGCTTCTTTGTTTCTTTTTCTGGCTTGATATCTGTACTTTAAAGGCATGCAATTTTCTGAACATGTATATGAACGCATCATATTTTGGGGGAAAGTTGCATGTTTTCTGTTATCTGAAACTCTTTCTGGTAACTACTTTCTCATTTTCTCTTATTCTAGTTCTATCACTCTACTGTATCCTGCTCCATTCAAGACTATCCTACAATACTTATCTTGGTTCCTATTTTGGCTGTGAGGGATCAAAAAGGTTAGAGAAACTTAACATGACATGTATTTTAGGCTCTAGCTCACAAATATTGTGGCTGTAATTCAGTAGGTCAAAACCAGAGTAGGCTCATTGAATGCCAAATTCCTGCTGTGTAGCATAGTAAATTGCAGTAGGATAAACCCAGTGAATCAATGGGATTTAGTGAGTCAACCCTTCCGTAAATTCCTTGCATTTGAGTGGGCCTGCTATAACTGTAACTTACTATGAATCACCGGAACTTATGGAGGAGTTCGTTCACCAAATCCCTATTGATTCAGTGGGCTTAATCGAGTGTAATTTAGTATGCCAAGCAATAGGTACATATAGAAGTGTAGATCACATGGATTCAATAGGCCTACTTTATTTGCAGATTCCTTCTGGATTTCAGCCACTATATGTTACAGTTCTTTGTGATGGTCATACATTTTACACAGTTGCCTTGATCGATCATATGAAGTGGGTGAAACAGTATTTTGGGAATGAATACTGTCCTATCCACCTCCAATAGATACATCTATGTTTCCATATTTAAATGTTTTACATTGGTTTAATTCTTGGCTCTCATTTATATTCTTTCCCCCATTAGTTTTGGATGAGTTGTAGTTTTGGAGTGGGTGCTTAGAATTCTTACAAGCTTTTAGTTACCTTTACTAAGCTACAGTTTCATCAGCAAGAGTGTGATTATTGCTACCCTGTTTCCCCAAAAATAAATCTTAACCTGAAAATAAGCCCTTGTATGATTTTTCAAGATGCTCGTAATATAAGCCCTACCCAAAAAATAAGGCTGTTAAGTGAAACCCCCACTCTCCACCATTGCGCAGCATTGTGTAGCTACCAGAAGAAAATGACTGTACAGTATTTGAATAAATGTAGATTGTTGTATATGAACAAAACCCCTCAAAATAAGCCCTAAATTATTTTCTGGAGCAAAACTTAATATAAGACCCTGTCTTATTTTCGGGGAAACATGGTAATTTATCAATACTTCTGGATATGTGACATATAATGCTTTTAATTTAGCACTGAAATCATGAAAATACCTTTTGGAAAAAAGTAAAATTGAAACAATTATTTCTTTTGCTAGTATGCCAGTAAATATCTGTTTGTGCAACTGAGCAAGCTTTTCTACAGAATGTTGGATGAATACCAAGCACTTCAGAAGCATCATCGCTACCTCAACCCTGGCCTCATATGTAGCAGGTCCTCTAATCTGGAATAACATTTTAAGAATGTTAGAAATGTGTTTATGTTTTCATAACTATTTCTGAAAATCATACTGTAAAATCCAGGAATAAATTACTTCATAGAAATACTTTTTTTCTCTAAGGCTAGGCAGATTTATTTTCTCCCTCGCCCTTCTCCGCCCTTTTCTTCCTTTTCTAAAAGTAATTTGCTGGCTGAAGACCTCTAGCATCACCTTCAAACCTGATTAGCAGTTTGGTCGTACTGAGAGCCTAATTTTTCTTGAACCAAATATTATGAAGTTGTGTGTTGTAGCTAGGTTTCTCAAATCACTAATGCAAAGTTTGAAGTTTTTTTTTTATTTGCTTATTTGTACAGATGGTACAAGCTTCACTCCAAACCAGGGAAGGAAGAAAAAGAGAGGGGTGAGATTGAAGTGGATATCCAGTTTATGAGGAGCAACATGACAGCTAGCATGTTTGACCTCTCCATGAAGGATAAGTCCCGGACTCCGTTTGGCAAGCTGAAGGACAAACTAAAGGGGAAACGTGGCAATGGGTTGCCAGACACAGCATCCGCTATTATTCCTAGCATTAGTCACTCACCGGCTGACAGTGAGGAAGAGTCAAATGAGAAAGAGAAGAAAAAATCAAAGTTCAAGACTCTGTTCTCCAAGCCTGGTTTACAGAAAAGCACTCTTTCCCAGTCTATGTCTGTACTACCTACTCACCAAGAAGCGTCAGGGAGGGTTCGACTTAGACCCAGTGACTTTCAGTCAAAGTGGGGTGATGACGACGACGATGAAGACACTTTGACTCCAGTCTCAGAAAGTAAGTTTCTCTCTTGAAACAATTTCTTAAAATCTTTCAACAGCTATCTGATTTCTAACTGCTTCCACCAAATGATGTATAGCAAATGTGTCTGTTTTTAGAAATACTTTTTAATAGTGAAAAAAAACAGGAGTATCAAGCACTTGCTTAGATGCTCTGTAGAAATAAAGGCCATCGCAATTGTGTTTGGAATACTTGTTACTCTCATTTATTCATTTAAATTAATTTCCTACATAAATGTATTAACTGTTGCTAAGATTTGTTGATTGATTTACGCACGTGTTTTCACAGTTCTCATGCTGTTTTCCCTTTATCTTTTCAGAGCCTTTTACAAGTAGAGCTGAAGGTAACTTGCTTTATCCCTCATCTGGCACGTCCCATAAAAGAACAGGTAGTGGGGACAGCAGGCAATTAAATCAAATCACTGGTAGCAATATGAAGGAGCCACATTCTTTATTTGGCCTGAAATCTAAAAGTGATCCAACTTCCAGATCCAACGTGTGTATCAATGGCAGTCATATTTATATGGAAGTACATGAATCAAAAAGTGACGCCTTTTTGAAAGACAGCACTCCATCTTCTCCTCAGATCTCCCAGAGAAAGCGTTTGTTTTTGTCTCAGGAGAACTTGTCCCCTGATCTCAGTAAGGAAGGTGAAAACACAGGACGATTTCCCCCTCACAAAGAGCCACCTGGATCTTCCTCATTGGAGTCATTTAAAGCCATGACTTTGCCATCATACAAACTGCTAAGTGGTGAGGATTTGCTTGAAAGCCACAATCCAGTGATTTCAGAAACTCTGAAAGAAACCAAAGATGATAAAAAAACAGACACTCCAAAAGAAACCAAAGATGATAGAAAAACAGACACTCCAAAAGAAACCAAAGAGGATAAAAAACAGGAGAACAAGAAATCAGGATTGCTTTCTCTTATGACAGGAAGAAAGGAAGGTAAAATCAGTGAGGAGGTGGAGAACAATGCTGATACCTCTCTCAAGATGAAGGAAGTGAAACGTGATGAAAAAGATTTGCCAAGGAAAGAGGTGAACCCTTTTGAAGTCCCTGCTGATAACAAAGGGAGACATGGCCCAGAGAAAAGCAGTGCTGCCGAAGTCCCGAATGTGAAGGCATCCCTGAACCCATTTGATGAAAGCGTCATGGAAGAAGAGAAAGCAGGAAAAAATGCAATTTCTGTGAAGCCATCTCAGACCAAACCCGTGAAACCCAGGTTAGTCTTGAGACACAGTTCAGACACTAGGGTCATAAAAGTATATTGGAATCTGACATGGCTTCGAGTGAGCGACATCTCACCCCATCCCTTACCATTGGCAGCATGGACAGGGTTGGTGGTATTTCTAGGCCAAAATTTCAAAAAGCCAAAAGGTCCCCAAACCTGCTTTTAGACTTTCAGCATTTAATATATTTCATTGGGCAGGGACCTAAAAAATAATTATTTGCCTAGGACAGGGAGGAATTGCATCTAAGTATAACTGGTGTAGCCTAAGCGAGGTATTTCTTTGTGGGATGTCACTTTGAAAGGAGGCAGAAATGGTCATGCCTCCTGCATTATAGAACATAGCTGTGTACCTCCGAAAACTGCATGTTATACATGAACAATATTACCTGGATGATACAGGGATTTAAACAGTCCCCGGACTGCTTCTTAATACTGGAACATTGTCTACAAGAGAATGTTCCCCTGCTGGCTGGACTTTCCCAGTACGAAGTAATTAGAGTGAAGAAAAGCACACATTAACTGTACTACATTTGCCTGGTTTAGCACACTTTGTTTCTTTTATTCTCTGCATTCCACTTTCTCCTAATTAGGAGGAGTGGCAGAGAGATTAGGTCCTGTCATTGTTTTTCTGGCTGGGAAAATGAGATACTGCTATTGAACTTCTCTTTATCAGTTGTGGCTACCTAAAGTGTGAACCTATAGCCATGGTGGCTACACACACAGCAGGGAGGACTGAGGAGAACAGCCACCACTAAAGCATCCTTTTAAAGATACAACCAGCACTAATGGCAGTTGTCCTTCTGCCTTTTTCATGTCTGCCTAAGTTGTTAGCTGAGTGCACTCTTGCATTTCTGTACCAAGAGTGGAGGGGAACATTTGCAGAAGTGGGAATAGTTATGGTGAAGGAAACAGAGTGGCTCCTATGTCCAGGTCCTGATCGTTTGCATGGCTCTCTTATTTCACACATTAATTGACAGAAAGGTTATTCAATGCGTGTTGCTTTGAACAACCTTTCTGTCCATTAATGTAGTTTGTTTGTTCATAGGTAGATGCCTGGATTATTAGTTCCACATTTTATGTTTATAATTAATAGCAGTGTGAACATTTCTTGATACTATAACTTTGAACAGATGTTTGCTTTCTTTATGGTCTAACATTGAAAACAGATGACATTTTATCTTAACAATGTTAAGACCTCTTTTCCTTTCAGTCCCACAACGAATAAATCTGTAACACAATCTGTAAGCACAACGAATAAATCTGTAACACCCTTCTGCTATATAAAATGCAGTTCCTACAGCTTAGGAAGTCGCATATCTTGGACAGAACTTTCTACAAGCAGTATTGCTGTGCTTTCCACTTTATAAACCTTGGGTCTTTGTTGCTTTCTACATTTTGACTTTGCCATTAATGCAATCTGTTGTACTAACTGTGTTTTCAAAATCTTGGTTAATAGAAAATGCTTCTTACTGCCTCAGAAGTCTTTTTCTTCTGTTTTCTCTCTTTCAGAATTTTCTGAGGTTGCACAGATACATAAAGTCTATTTGGTTTACCAAATCCTATATCTGCTCTATATGGCTGAAATCCTTCTCAATGTAGTAGGTTTCACTAGAGAAGGCCACTGAATCAGTGTGGATTCAATGAATTAACTCCTCTGTAAGTTCTAATGATTCAACACTAGTTGCATCTTACTACATTAAAATAAGTCACAACTAGAGTACGTTCCTTTGAATCAATAGAACTTGCATAGAAGTTGACTCAGCAAATCCCCACTGCATCAGTGGGCCTATCCTAGTATGGATTATTATGCTAAGCAATAGGATTTCATCTCTAATATGCAGTAGCTTTGTTACTGTTGTTCTTGTTATGTTTCCGCCTGTCTCATGTTGCATCTGCAACTGACACAGGTTTTATTTTGTCCATTTTACAGACTGGGCGTGTCTTCAGAGGATGAAACCAAAGCCACTTTTCCTATTCCTGTACCTCCTTCTACTTCTCTGCTGTCTCCTTTCTATCACTCTGATAATGAGAACAACCCTTTTAACTTCAAACAGAAACAAGAGCAGAAAGTTCAGAACACAGATACTTTTATTAGTTCTTTGATAACTCCTCCTGCAAGATTTAGCAATAATCCATTTCTGTCCAAATGGGAGCAGGGATCCAAACAAGAAGGCGTGGAGTGCTCTCCTTCAGCGTCTTCCCATGTTCTTTCTCCTCCTGATTCCGGCAAGGCCAGTAACCCCTTTTCTCCTCTATGGCGACAGAAATCCCAAACACATGATTTTGAAAACTCTGCTGAACCGCCATTGTGTTTCCAGACTCCTCTTCCAGATACTGTACTTGAATCACACCCTCTTCCTTGTCAGCCTTCTAATGCAGATGATCATCTTGTATCAGACCTGGGAAAGGGCTCTGAAAGCTTAAACAGTCCTCCCACATCTACCTCTGTAGCAGGAAACCTTGATGATTCAAAGTACCTAGATGTTTTGAAGCCTCAAAATGAAAACTTTGCTAATCAAACAGATTCTGTATTACGTTCTGGTGGAGCACTTGCTCTCAGTGAGCCTAGTGTAATAGTGAAGTCTTGGGGTGATGACAAACTGCACATAGTACCACCATTTAAAGAAAACAGTGGAAGAATGAAGAAGACAGTGACCTTTGCCCGTGATGAGCTGAAAGATAATGATGAAGTAAACAGTGTCAGTGAGATAGCAGAGGAAGATTTAACTGAGAGATGGGATGAAGATGAAAACAGAGATGCAATAAAACCCATTGAAGGGCGTAAGAGACAAGGACTTGACCTTGATATAGAACATCAGTTTGTTTCTAAATGCCTTGATGGAGGAACACATTCTGCTTATGACAATGATAATCCTTCAAGAACTGAAACTAAAGGCTTGGTTACAGCAGAGCCACCATTACCAGCCCCAAGAATCCTTTTGACTTCACCTAAGAAAACCAACACATCAAAGGCTGTAATTGATAGTGGTCCTTTTCCTCTGCCTCCAAAGCCAATGCCAAGAACAAAACGAAAAGATACAGATTCTCCTTTAACTGATGCATTGAAAGCAGAAGATGCCTTAAGCACTGGGTTTAAAAAAATGTCTTCAGATAATTCGGTCTCCAAGGAAGAGCTAATCAGAACTACTACATTAGCAACTCCAGAATCAACTGTACTTTTGTTTGGAAGAGACGATGGTACCATGGATTCTTCTCGGTGCACTAATAATCACTCTAGCATTATTTTGAGCACAAAGCCTCAGAGTTTACTTACTGGAGATGTGAATATAAAAGGCACCGTTCTTCCTGTTATCTCAGAAGTAGGATCAGATGATGAGCAACTGAGTGATTATCACCAGGAATCTGAAAAGATGGTAGTTTGTGTAGACTTTTCAAGGAATGGTGGTGATTCTAGAGCGAGAGAGATGCTATCAAAGGAGAAGGTTGTTGATGAGAAGCAGATAGTATCACTGAGTGTGAAAACAAGTGGGCCCGGTGGTATTTTTAAACCCAGAAAGTCACCGGTTAGTCCTTCAGCAGTAAGACTTCAGAATGAAAGTGGACTGGAACAAAATGGTACTCGCAGTCTAAAGGAAGATGGAGAGAGTTATCCTGAGTTTTCTGATAAACCTTTTTCTGTTTCCAATTCTTCTCAGTCTTACTCTGTTAACTCTTTCCAATCTGATGCTCTTGGCTCTTATAGTACAGAATCTACGAAAAAATCTACAATGAAGGGCTTGGATGCTAAACTAGAAACCTCTGGCCAGAAGAAGCTGCTTCAGGCAAGGGTTTCAACCTCTGAAACACATCCTAATCAAACTCTGCAGAGTGTTGGATCTTGCCCTCCTAAGTTCAGGTGAGAATAGTTGTTAGGATCTAACAAGAGAAAATTATCAAGTTTGTAACTATTTTATTTATTTATTACATTTATAGCCCTCCCATCTAGTCATATAGACTAATCTGGGCAGGTAACAACATGACATATAACAATTTGCAATTTAAAATGACAATATATATTGTCATATATATTGTAATATATTACTTAAAAAATATATTACCAAAAAACCCCACAATGATCCAAGATGGAAGAAATACAAGAAACAAAAATTCAGACAGTGATGGAGGGAAGGCTTGCTTGAACAACCAGGTTTTCAGTTGGCATTCGAAGATGCTTAGGGAAGGGGCCATGCGAATCTCAGGAGGAAGATTGTTCCAGAGACGGGGAACCACTGCCGAGAAGGCCCAGTTTCTTGTTTTTTCCTTCTGGGCCTCCCTCGGCATTAGGCTTCTCAGTCTCACCTCCTGGCTAGATAGGGTGATATGGGTAGATCTAGCTTTGAATCACCCCGCCTGTTTTTTGCAAATGTAGTAATGAGTTTTACGTCATTTGGATAACTGCAGGAACTGTACACCCCTGCTTTTAGAGGTAACCTCCAAAGGAGATCCAGTATGATGTAAGGATTACAATGTTGAGCTAAGACAAGTTCTGATCCCTGTTCAGACATGAAACGTCGGCGTGAGCAGATTTGTATTTTTGAATTACAATGTCCAGAAATCTCCAGGCGGTATAGCAGGACTTAGGAATTGTAGTCCCACAACACAAACTAATGCACTCTAATAAAATGACTTGGGTGACCCTGACCCACTCACTGACTCAGGCTGATCTACCTCACGGGGTTATTGTGAGGACAAAGTGAAGAGGAGAGCCTTATGCACTGCCTTTGGTTATTTGGACAAGACGCAGGATATAATTACATAAACACACTTCTGCAGAAATCTCTGGGCAAAAAAAATTGATTGAATCTTTATTTTGCTGGGGCAGTGCTTGGACATCTTCCACAATGGGGTGTTATGTGTCAGGTAGTAACCTGTAATAGGGTACAGCATGTCTTAGATATTTCGTGTTTAATTTTTAAAAATGTCTTTTAAAGCAATAGTTTGTTGCTCTGGCTTTCTCAGAACAAGATTTAGCAACCATTTTAGATATAGTTCACTAATTTTGCAGGGAGGTGTTCTTACTTTTGAGTCTTAAATGTGCTGTAATTTCCTGGGACTGGAAACTTTTGAGTCGCCAAGATCTCTGAAGTGTTAACAGGTACAGATTTAAATAAATGTGTTTCCAAGATAAACCATTTGAATTTAACCTTCACTGAGGAACTTTACATTTCAAAAATAGGCTGAACGCTTTGGTAACTGTTCACAACTAATAGTAGTCAGCTCTCTCTACATGTAAAAAAAAGTGTTGTTGACCACTATTATTTTGTGCCAGTCTCTTGGGCTATTTTATCTCACAGCATTGTTATGAGAATGTAGCGGAGGGCAAGAAGAACCTTTTATATGACCTTCAGCTCCTTGAAGGAATGATTGTATATAGTTTTCATAACCAAATCTTCAATTTTCTCTATAATCTTAAAGTATCCTTTAAGATTAAGCCTGGCAGACATTTTGTGCTCTTCTCTGCTCCTGCCCCCTCTGGGGCAGGAAATAAAACATTGCTGCTTTTCCCTTGCCCCCAGGAAGCTTCTGAAAGCTGGGGAGCTTTATTCCTCAGCCTTTTTAGTTGCTGAGCAAGCCTCTGGAAGCCTCTTCCGAGCCAGCCGATCAGCTGTTAGGAAGGGAGAGGAGGGGCAGGAGTGGAGAAGAGCACAAAATGGCTGCCTGACTCCCTTCTGGGTGTCGGCTTTTAGCTGTTTGCTGCTCTTTTTCCTGCAGTTTGGGGTCTATCAAGGTATGGTAAGTGACTTGCTTTTATTTATTTTTAAGTTTCTGACCTTTCCTCCCCCCATAGGAACACATTCATTAATTTTCAATGCCTTCCTATGGGAAATTTAGTTTCGACTTACAAACGTTTCAACTTACGAACAGACTTCCGGAACAGATTAAATTCGTAAATCGAGGGCCCACTGTATAATCTTAAAGTACCCTTTAAAAGTGTGTGTGGTTTTGGAGGAAAAAAGAAATCAAATTAGCTGCAATCTATAACTTCAGTAAAAACAATACATGCAAGAAGATTGTGTTTTTCTTGTTTTATCGAAAAACACACAAAAGCAAGTGTTCATGCATAGAGTGCTTCATGCCTCAACCAAAAGTAGAACTTACTAAGTTGTCCAGTGGTACATTTTCGAGTTGCCAAACCTAAATAGAATCTGCCTTTCAGACTTCATCCTGTGAAGCCCATGAATACTACAACAAACAAACAACCTGCAAAAACTTTCAACGCGAAGATCCTGGATAACCAGAATGAAGCCAATATAAAGGTATTTAAGACATACTATGTTTTACAGGCTAATTTAATACATTAGGACCCCATATCTGCTGGGGATTGTATGTATTACTCACTAACGAATAGTCATAGCATGGTCTCTATCTCTAGTGGCCAGTTCTAGGAATATATGTGAAAAAAGTTTTTTTCTGGGCTTTTTTTTTCTTTTAGTATTTTTAATATTTTCAGACTGTGGATAAGTGAAACTGTTGATACTGATCCCATGGATATGGGGCCCCTACTGTATTCTGAGATTACCATGTATGGTACCAATACTGACTGATGGGAGATTGTTCTGTGAAAGCAGTAAGTGAAATACAGTCAATTGCTACCTTCATAAAAATGTTAGAAAAAATTGTTGATGGATGTAAAAAGTAATGGTATATTGTGAAGATCACCTTGTTTTTGCAGTGCTTTTGAGCATTTACTACTCATAAGGAGTGCACCATACAGGGCTTGTCTTCATGCCTCATAAAGGCTTTTATTAGCAAACCCAGAAATTCCTGATTTGTGATCTGTTGTAAAGTTCAGCTGGGTCAGATTAGGTTTTTGTGCAAATTCATTCCCTGGATTCTTCAGCAATTTCTAAAACCAAAAGGAATTGCCTAGCTTCTGATCCTTTGAGCTCATCCTTGAAACAGTTGTCTCTGTTAAAGGACTAACCCTTCTTCATTTGTCTCTCCTGAAGAAATATGACCCGTCAGATCCTGCTTATGCTTATGCTCAGTTAACACACGATGAACTGATCCAGCTGGTCTTGAAGCAGAAAGATGTCATTGCAAAACGAGACCTCCAGGTGCGGGAGTTGCAAGACTACATAGACAACTTGCTTGTCAGGGTCATGGAGGAAACGCCTAACATTCTTCGGGTTCAAGCCCATGTGAGCAAGAAAGCAGGAAAGATGTGAGATCGTCATTTACCATGGATAAGAATTTTATTGTGTGCTCCTATATTGGAAGCAGATGCTGAAATAACTCCTGTGTGTACCAAAACCATTTTTTTTCTTTTCACTAAGCTCAAGATGAATTGCTTTCTCTTAGATTTGTGAACAATTATATAACCGAAAATGCCAATCTTCTTAAAAACAAAATCATCCCTTGACCGTTTAATACACCGTTTGTATTGTGCTGCTCTGCTGAGGTTAAAGGTGTGAATTTATGGAACTGGAAATTATTCTACAACTGGAGCATTTTTGAAGATTTCGTTTAAAAGTTGTCATTTTTCCCCATAGTTTTCAGAAACATATTCTTCTTTGACTTCTTTTTAAGGGTATTTTTAATTTTAGTGCAATATAAGTAATCATATGTTAATTTAGATATATTGAATGAACTTTATTTGAGTAAGGTTAGGGTTAGGGTTAGGATTTGAGCATGGTAAATAAACCTGGGTGGCCTTTTTTATTTAAAGGAGCACAATCCTTTAAGAATGTTTTGCTGTGTTTTGCTTGTATTCTTAAATTCTTGTTTATTTTGTGGGGCTTATATTGTTCAAGTTCATAATGGGTTGTTCTATGTTGTGCTAATTCCCGCCCGCCCCCAAACATTTGGGCTATTTCTCCTGATAGGCTGTGTACTTTTAGAAACCTCTGACTACTAAAGACAACGTGAACTGTTTTCTTTTTTCAGTGTTAACTGCTATTTCTGAATTGATTTTTCACATTTGAGTAATTTACCTTCTCTGTTCAGGAATCTACTTGGATTTTGTTATTTTCTTCCTTCATTCAGTAAGTGTAGACCCAAATGGCTGTTTGTTCATGCATCTCGTATTTTTTTTCTCATAAGCAGCCTGTGACATTGATTATCATAGTGATTCCAAAAATCTCCTGAGATATTGTCATTATAAAAGAACTGAAATGCTTCACACTGTTAATTAGTTACAAAATTGTTTTGCCAGTTACTATGAATCCCTTGTCTGAAGTTAAAAGTTAACTTCTTTGATTTCTTCAGCTCTTCTAAGTTCTGTAACACTTCTGCTTATAGCACTGCTGCTTCAGAAACAGTATTTGCTCATAATTCTCCTTTTTTGGGGGCTATTAACTTCCCAGTGGGCGTTGAAGACTTTGTGCTGCAGCTTGTGATCAAGTAATTGGATCTTAACAATTCTTTCTTGGGCAAATGCATTCCTTACCATCACATAATGTCCCTCTTCAATATTCCATTTGGCATCCTTCCTTTATTGCATTTTTCTTTCCAGCAAAGACTTACCTAAGTTTTACTCCTTTTCAGGAGTACATCTCCTTTTGAAATACTCTTTTAAGCTCTTTTTTTAGCATAAAGCAACTTGGAACAAAGAAAATAGATGTAGTAAGAGTATCGTAATACAGTGTTTAGTGAACTTATAGTAATTGTTTCAGCTTTTTTTCTCTTGTTTGCAAATCTATAACTCTTTCCTCTAAAGATTGAATAAACCTTCAGTTTGTAAAAAAAAAAAGGGTTGAATTCTGATCTCAGCACTTCAGATTTCATTTTATTCTCCTTGCCTTTCAGATAGCATTCTTTGACTTCATATGGAATTTTCTATATGGACTTTGAGTCTTTATACACTCCAGCTGTGGTTATTTTTGGTTGGAACATATGGACTCCATTCAGGATTGTCCCAGTTATGTTCATGCTGCTGTATTTGGTACAAAATGTGACTAATTTGTATTATCCTTCCACCTTGACCTATTTTTTTTGCTAAAAATGGAAAATCCATGCTCATTGTATTCATATATGGTTTGTGTGAAACAAATTGTACTTATTATTAGCTTTCAAGTTGAAATTCATTGATTTAGTTTGTGTTGAATAATAGCAATACAGCCAGACTGTGCCCTGAGCTGAAAGATGATGAGTTCCAATCAGTAGGCTTTTACTGAGTGAATGGAGTGGGAAAACATGCTTGTGATATTGTTTCTGTTTAAAAAAAAAAAAAAAACACCTTCTGGATCAGGTGTTTTTCTCTCACCTGTATTAATGCTTTACAATGTTACCTGTTTTAGTGGAATTATGAAAACAAAACTTTTTCTTTTCCCTCTATTGCTGCTAAGTATGTTGGATAAAAACATTAGTTTCTGTAATATGGGAAAGAAACCTTTAATAGGGAGTCAGATGAACTGGAATAATACATAGAAATTGGTAAATGATTGGATGGTCTTTTAAAAGCATAGAATTATCTACAAATTCTTGGTTTCCATTCAGTCAGATCTACTGTATATTATTTTTACATGTTGAAGAGTCTTAACTTCCAGATTATGAAATACAGATACCCTAATAGCAATACAACTGTTCTCTGAAGGCTTTGATAGATGCATTTTAATGTATAATTTTATGATAGCTACTATTTGTTACATCCTTGTGCACTTTATAAAAGACATGAGGCCGGCTCTGAATAGCTCTTTTGCACTCTCTTTGCATTCAGTCACAATACTTGATTATAAACTTGTCAGCTCAAATCAAAGATCCTAGCACTTGTTGAATGGTGCCTGATAATTACTCTTGGTACTGTACAATCTCTCTTGTGATCACCAAAGAACAGAATAGCTTCAGTAGTTACAATACTTTTTAAGAAGAAGTGCTGTTTTTATTACATTCGTTTTTTGATATTGCATTGCTTAACTATTTATTTTAGGGTTTTGGGACAAAGTAGCAACATATTGGAACATATGGCTCTTTGGAACGAGTTATACTATGCTCCCTTTGACCTTGACTGGAGTATGATATTTGTTGAGTAGAGTTATCCATATTTATTGCATAATGCTGATTCTCCCCAGTGAAGTCCTCTGATTGAGGCTGTTGTTTTGTATTGCAAAACTAGCAGTGATTTCAAAATTCTGTAAGGAGAGGAATTGTTTGATGATTCATTTTTAAAAATATATGCCTTTTCCCTGTAGACACGGAAGCATGTCATTCTGTGCAGTTTGAGTGGACTGCCTTACATGCCAGTCTCTGCTGATCAGTTTCCATCCCCTGTGCCCTACTGTTGCTCCTGTTTAGTTTTTCCTGAGACGTCAGCTGCTGCTGTGTTTGGAATTTTTCCTGTGTTTTGATTTTTTTAAAACCTTATACTTTTAGATATGTAGACATTTAGATATGTAGATACCTTTTAAAAAGTTTCTTTTAAAAAAATACTGTAGTGTCTCCCTCCTTCTGCCCTGCTAGTCATAAAATAAGGCTGCATGTCTCCTGCTCTTGGGAGTATTTGTGTGAAAAGATTTGTAGTGAACAACTGCGGCCCTTATGGTCATGCTCCCAAAACCCCAAGGGTGTTAGTTTTTAACACCATGCTTATGTTGCAACAAATGCAGCTGTGCTGTTGTTGAAATGATATTGGGTGTATCTAATATAGTTACAGCAATTTGATATCATTTTAATTGCTATGGCTCCATGCTGTGGTATCCTGGGGATTTGTAGTTTACTTAGTATTCTCTGCTGCAGAGAATTGAGAGAATGCACTAGGATTTTCATGCAGAGAATTCCAAGTACTTCCACAAATGGCAGCTGAAGTTAAATCAAAGAGCTGTAACTGTGATGAAGTTATATCCATTTGCTGTTTCAATGGAGAAATCTTTTAATTCGTAATTTGATGTAATTTTCTGGGACTGTAATGTTGCAGATAACTAACTGTCCATCCATACAGTTGAAGTTGTAAATTTTATATTGTTTGATGAGACTTGAGCAATGGATGGTAGAGCCTTACAGACTGCCTTCTATTCACCACCTCTCACCTGCGCATAGAAATCCTGAGTATTGTCAAAGATGGAGGTGTGAACTGAGAGATAACTTGCTTTTCCTCTAGCCTTTATTTGCTTACTGTTTTAACATTGAAAGTCTGAAATACATTGTATTTTCTACTTTGTAACTCTTGGTACATTGGTTTTTATATAAAGATCTTAAGCCTTGTGAAATGTTAAAATAAATTTATTTAAACTGATGTGCGTACACATTTTTTAACATGAAAGAAATTTCAGAGGGAATGCAGTAAATCTTGTAGAACTAGAATAGTTTATGCAACATTAACTGTGGTGAAATTGAGGTGTATAAGTAAGGAGTATGACTGGGTGTGCCAGCTCTTTATGCATTTATTTTGCTATCAAAAGTCTCTGAATTGGGTACTGTTGAGTGCTGTGGAGTAGCAAACCTTTTTCAGTTCGTAGGTCTTCTGTTTGGCAAACCTTGGCAGCTTCTACATCAGCACTATGGAAAATGGGTCTCCCAGTGTTGGGTGGCAGCTCTTACTTCTATTCAGCACTGAGCAATGACTGTAATAACAACCTAGCAATACACATTGCCCATGTTCTCCAAAGTTTTGAGCATGAGGGCCACATCGTATATTTTCAACTTTTTTGAGAGTCGAAGGAACATGCACACCCGTGTATGCGTCCCTGCCCCCTCTGCATGGACTCCCGCCTGCTTTCACAGATGCCCACTCCCTGCATGTGTGGATGCCCCCCTTTCTGCCCCCCTGTGCAGGCTGAAAGGAACGGGCTGCATAAAGTGCCAATGTGGGCCAGATGTGGCCCACGGACCGTAGTTTGGAGACCTGTTCTAGACCAGTGGTTCCCAGCCTTGTGTAACAAGTGTTCTTTGACTGATTCCTTGAAATGCCAGCCAGCACAGCTAGTCATGAAGGTTTGTGGGAACTACAGTCCAAGAATACTTAGATCACTCAAGGCTGGGAACCACTATTCTAGTTAATAACTTGTCCCCATGAAGGCAGTATTGCATCCTGGTGTCCATACAACACAAGCCTAAAACTGTCATCAGCAGAATCAAGTGGTTTTAAGTACTGTATCTGGATGTGGGCCCTCCTTGACAGGAGAGGGACTTCATGATCCATAGGGCCCCTTCCAGCTCTACAGTTCTAAGATGATGATTACAAAGCAGAACAAAAAATCTTGCTTCATGGGTTTTTTTCCACATTCCTTTTTTATTATTATTATTTTTTTTGGCACCACTTCAGGTATATCCTATATATCCCAGCTCTGGTATATCCAGCTTGTGTATATCCTAGAACATCACGGAAGCATGTCATTCTGTGCAGTTTGAGTGGACTGCCTTACATGCCAGTCTCTGCTGATCAGTTTCCATCCCCTGTGCCCTACTGTGGCTCCTGTTTAGTTTTTCCTGGGATGTCAGCTGTTGCTGTGTTTTGAGTTTTTCCTGTGTTTTGAGTTTTTTAAAATCTTACCACTTTCCATACCATAGCACAACAGTAGAAACTCAAAAGAAAAAGAAAAACATTAAGCCAAAATGTGAAGGCTGAAAGTGAGTGGATAAAAACCAGACGAGAAGTAAGGAGAGAGATAAGTTGGGGTGGAGAGAGAGGATGGAGAAGATTTCTACTGTTCTTTGTTCTGCTGGGTTTTTTAGTACCAGTTTTGCACCATGGCACCAAAGTAGAGAATGTTTACAACATTTTAAAACCAAAAA